CCCCACCCCACCCCCTCAACTCACGAACACACCTTTACTTTATCTGTTCTAGGTCCAACAAAAGCCCCAGACAGCACGGCATCGTCAGCCGACCCGAGGGGGCGTGGCACTGTCTCCTCAGACATGCGCAGTAAGGTCGACGTCAGACTCGTCGCTATAGCACAGTTGAGCCACCCGGGACCGAGGCAGCAGCCCAGCGCAAGGCCCATGACCAGTGACGTCACAGCGGTCAGTCGCCGGAAGGACAGCCCTATATCAAGGCTGCTGTCCGCTCTGAATGGGGGCCACGCCTCCTCCATCAAACGGCACGACGCGAACCCCAGACCGCCCACGCACAACCCCGCTACCACTACCGCCACTACTGACAGCCACGCCCACCACCTCACCGTCACACAGGCTCATCAGCAACTCCGCCACCAGGGGGCAGTCAAATCAACAAGGGCGACAACTCCGTCACCGAGTGCCAGGTCCAGTCTGTCTCCTGCCAGGGCCCGGCTATTGAGCGCCATACGCCGTAAGTTACTACGACTTCACCTCACCAACGACCAGATGAAGCAGATTCTGAGAAAGACTAAACATCTAGACAGCCGAGAAGATGACAAAGACTCTCGTGAACTTGGTCACGAGAACGCGAGCGACGATGATGATGATAATAGCGATGATGAGAGTGATGAAGGTGATGCTAGTCATGATGACGATGATGCTGGTCGTGTTAGCAACCATAGCGATAGTGACAGTGAAGGAGATGATGATGATGATGATGACGATGACGCTGGTCGTGTTAGCAACCATAGCGATAGTGACAGTGATGAAGAAGATCATCATGATGATGATGATGATGATTATGATAGTCACGCTCGTGACCATAGAGATGATGAGAGTGCTGAAGACGACGACGACGACGACGATCGTCCAGAGGCAAGCTTCAGGTCAATCCTTCTTTCTGGCAGCTTAAGCGATGATGAGCACCAGTTCATGGTGCACATCGAGACGATGAGTACTCACCAACTTCGCTTGCTGTTGGACCAAATGAACGACATGCAGCAGAGGAGGAGGCTCTCACACCACAGCAACGACGACGACGACGACGATAAACGTACGACGACTACTGCTGTTCCCGTTGCGCACGATCTGTCGATGGGAGCTATTTGTTGTAACTTTGGATGACATGATCTTCGTGATTTTGCGAACTATGAAGGTTCATTATTATTATAAGTTATTCGGAGACCAGGGCCTACTACTAACATTAGATCTAATATTATTGATTTTTTTCTGATTTCTTTGCTCCATGCAGAGTTTGTGCTTGTGTGTGAGTGAGAGAGTGTGTGTGTGTGTGTGTGTGTGTGTGTGTGTGTGTGTGTGTGTGTGTGTG